TGAGGATACTGGCCTTCTGCACCCGACTGAGTGTTAGATTGCATATTGAAGTGCTTACCCTTTGCGCCTATTTGGTTACCTGTTAAAATGCTAAATTGTGATAAAAAAAAATGCGTCAAGTGGTGCGGTAAATTTGCGATTAATTTCAGCTGACATTATGCCATAATTCTGGCCGATCTTTAGAGTACATAATTTGAGGATCTAGCTTGGCAACACGATAGCACTATGATGGTATCATGGAACCGTTATAGAACTGTTGAGGAACTAGTAGGGAACTGGCTGAGTGCCTGAGATGTTCCAGCTTGAATGCCGAGTTATTATGCCCAAAGTTTCAGCCAAAATTATAGAATAGTATTGGCTGAAATTATCGTTGATTTACCACACCTTGAGTATCTCGGTAGCTATTAATAGCTATCAGTTATCAAATGTAATACCATGTATCTTACTCATGATTTTAGATCGGTCTAATTTATATTGCCATTCTCTATTGCCACCACTTACTCGTATCTGCTTACGGTCAATATCCATTTGTGAGAATTTTTTACCAAGATAATTATTACTTAATACTTGTTCATTATTTTTCTTACACCATGCAAGATAATCCTGATATAAAGTAGCACAACATATTTGTTTGCAAAGAATGTCTTCAGGCCATATTGAAATATAATCTATTATAAATTGATCAGCATTAGAATAAGACACTTCGCTAGAGCTTATTATTTCATTCTGCTTTTCAATTCCCTGATAGCTAGTCACATTTTTAAGTCTATTATTTTCATTTTTGAGTTCATTAACTTGTTCTTTTAATGAATCTATTTCCAATTGCATATTTAAAACCTTGCGAGTCAATGTAAGCTCAAATTTCATATCAGAGATCTGGCGTTTTATTAGATAATTTTCAGATTCCATTGTAGATTCGAAATGCTTCAGAATAATTATTTTTTACGTATTTTCAATATTAGAACATTACTAAAGTAAGGCATGATCTTTTTGCTATATTGTTAGAAGATATATATGTCAAATTTTTTGATGTCACAAGTGTCACAACTTCTATATACTAACCTGTGACGTAACCTGTGACATGTTCGTTATACTTCTTGAGATTATTAGACTATTTCATTTCTTTCTTGATTACTGTCACAAGTGTCACAAGTAAAAGAGTAATAAAATCTAGGAAAAAAAACTGAAATTTTTCTATGGTACCCTAATGATGTATATGTATCGTGATATTAGTGTATGTATGATATATGTGATATATATATGCTTTAAAAAATAAAAAAAGTTAAGAGACTCAGATTTTTCCTATGACGCCTATGACACCTATGCCACCCTTCAAGAAAACTTTCTTTCGCTCTATAATTTCTAAAGAGCCTATCATTTACGTCACAAGTTCTGTCACAAGTTTTTTTTTTCCAGTGACACTCATGCTAAGTTGTATCATTTCATACCACATATATTATCATCTATTTACCTACCACTTCCTGCATTGAAGCCAAATCAGCCAGCTTTTTCTGATGGTACTGTTCTCTTTTACGGTGCTTTCTAGCATGTGGATCGCAAAATCCATATTCAGAATAAGTTCGTTTACCACATTCAATGCAAGGCATATATGAGGGAGAATTCCGATGTATTTGGCACCCTTTTGGGTGGAAGCACCCCCGATTACAAACTTCTCCGGTCCTGAGAATATATGGACATCGATAAAATGCCATTTTTGATAACTATGAATAGTTCGATTATGTATCGATTTATATATTTTGGAATTAATTTTCATTTTGAACTTTTTTCTCCCGGAGTATATACTTTCTCTCGAACTGTATATTTGTTATCTAAAAATGACCCAATCTGAGCTCCTCGACGCCCCCGCCCCCCTATACTATTGTGGGTTTAAAGCCTCCGATATAGGACAATGCCAATATAAAATTCGAGATGATAGTGTTAGGCCAAGGCATTTTCTAGGCGCAGATAATGTGGATGAGATAGAAGCAATACTCTTAGATCGTGAAGGCCATTCCTTACATGAATTCATCGATGGGGATGAGCCACTCCGGCCTATCATAGATTTCGATTTGCCACAAGAAGTACTTGATACTATTGAGCCTAAGCTAACACGTAAAGAGGTACTAGATTCACTTATTCTTGCTTTTAGAAAAACATGTTTGGAGATATTCCCAAAGTGGAATCCTAAAACTATAACCATTGCCAGCAGTAGTGATGCAAAAAAAATGTCTCTCCATATCTCGACTTTTGGTATAAGACTTCCAAATATTGCTCAAGTTGCATTGTTTACTGAGCTCGTTCGTAAAAAAGTTCTGGTGACTCTACAGGCAAATAGTATTATCGATAACATAGCGAACAAACAAACATTCTCCTTGCGAATGATTGGAACACCTAAGTTTGATGAAAAGACTAATACTCATGTACGGGTAAAAAAAGCCATACATCCGAAAGATGGATCTGTCTTTGACTTCATGATTCGCCCGCCTAATGATGAGTCAGAAGTCGTTGACAGTCCTCTCTTGGCCATTCTGAAGGCAGAAATAGGGAGGTGTTCTAGTATAAATAATGTCACCACTGATGCTGAACTCGAACTAGTAGAGACATTACTTCAAGAGGCTAGTATCAAAGGGTATAGTCTCTCATATCCATCTGAAAATTTTCCTGACAAATTTCCACTATCACGCGTCTCCCCATCGCATTGCCCAATATGTGATCGGGAACATACCAGTGAAAATGCATATATTATACGAAATAAAAAATCTTATAGCTTTTTCTGCTACCGAGCAAACCAAGATAGGCAACCCGGATCCAGGCCTTCAAAAAAACTTACTATTAGTGAAACGGCCTTGGATCAAGAAAGGAAACTTCCAACTCCAGTAAAATTAGAACAACCCAGAATTACAAATCCAAAAGATCAATTTGTATTTTGGGACTTATTACGCATGTGTACTTCAGGTAGGAAATTCTCCCGTGCTGAAGTTTATGAAGCTATCCAAGCAACAGTTGCCTACGTGCAAGGAACTTCGAAATTATGGTTTCTTAAGCGTAAAGATACAGAAAATGGCCTTTTCTTTGATATAGGACCTAAACTAAAGCTTGCCGATTACAAGATTAATATAATCGAATATGATGGGGAATCGATAAAGTTAAAATCATTGATAGACCAAGCAGATACTAAAGGTCTAATACTTTATGAAGATTATAATTTCCTCCCATACCCACCAAATGCCTCCCAACTAGTTACGGATTTCTTCAACCTTTTCCTAGGATTTTTGGCTAAGCCAGCACCAGAAATTAATAAAGAAATTATGGATCCGATTCTTTGGCATACGAAAAATATTATTAGTGATGGAAATGTGAAGCTTCATAAATATCTTTGGAAATGGTGGGCGTATTTAGTGCAGAAGCCAGAAAAAAAGCCTCGGTCAATCTTAGTCCTAAAGTCTAAATTACAGCAGTGTGGAAAAAATATTATCACCGACTTTATTGGTGATAAAGTTCTAGGGGAACATCTCCATTATGCTACATCAGATTTGGAAAAAATTCTTGGGCGATTTAATAGTGCCATCCAAGCTCGAAAGCTTATTGTTATGAATGAGACTGGAATGTCTAGCGGGAATTGGCATAGATTTAATGGACATCTCAAATCTCTTATAACAGAAGGAATGGTGACTATAGAGCGCAAAGGTCTTGAATCTAAACGACTAAAAGATTTTGCTGGGTATATGATTACAAGCAACCAGGATGCTCCACTCAAAATAGATATAGGGGATTCTCGTGTAGTCTGTTTTGATGTCTCTTCACGATGTAGAGGAAATACAGCATATTTTAAGCGACTAGGAAAAGTTCTTGACCACCCCGATGCGCCAGGAGTAGTTATGAGATATCTTCTTAGTCTTGATCTCTCAGATTTTGAACCACAAGAAATTCCTGTAACTAAAATGAAATCAGATATAATGCGAGACCAGCTACCTAATCCCATTCGATTTATAATTGACTATATTGTATCGAGCCAGCTCGCTGAGGATAGTGTAGTTGAGTTAAGTAAAAAAGCATTATATCAGAAGTATCTTGAATGGTGTGGAGAGGATGGCGAAAAGCCATTTTCTAATAACATTACTGGGAAGAAATTCTCAGATATTGGTATTGAGAGCAAACAAGCACGAACAGGTGGTGGAAGAAGGGAATGGCAGTATATTCTCGACCGCTCTAAGATCATAGCTAAGCTTTGTGAATCTGGCCTAGGCGATATCGAAGAATTTTCTGAAGATACATCTCAATCTGACTTAACCAAAAATGAGACTGCAGACATACCCATATTCAATGTGCCAGAAATTATTCCCCGAAAAATAGAAAAAACTGAAGCTCCAGTCGTCTCAACAACTGGGACATCTGAAACTACTAAAGTTTCTGAACCATCTGAGCCAGTAATCGATAAACCTGAAGCTAGCAAACCTTTCAAGCCTATCGAGCATACCAGTAATGTGTTGAAAGCACCCAAACCCAGTAATAATGAAATATTATCTACAAGAATCCAGCGAGAAGAGCGTCTCAGAAAATGGGCAATCGATCATGATGAAGACCCTGATAAGTTTATAACTATTACAGAAAAAGATGTCAACTTATCTCGGGAGTATCGAGACAGGATGATGGCGGACGCAGAAGTCATCGAATTTGCTAGAGAAAATAAGATGGACCCGAATGATTTATTTTACATGACGAGGAGGGAAAGGTT